CTGGACAAGAGGGCAACTCTGGCTCCCAGAGCCTCGGCATACTCCTTCCATACTCTAGAGATGAACTGGGGTTCCCGATTGGAGAGAATCTCCTCAGGTATACCGTGCAGCCGGAACACATGCTTAATGAGCAGTTTTGCTGTAACTATGGAAGAAGGGAGATTTTAACAGTATGAGGTGGAAGGCTTTAGAAACCCGGTCCACAATGGTGAGTATCGTATTGAAACCATGGGAGTCTGGCAGCCCGCAGACGAAATCCAAAACTACGTGAGACCAGGGGCGAGAAGGAATCGGAAGAGGATTTAATAATCCTGCCGGAGACCGATGGTCCCCCTTTTGCTGAGCACAAATGTGGCAACCTGAGATATCATCCTTTACATCCTTGTACATTGCCGGCCACCAGAAAGTTTGTCTTATAAGGGCAATTGTGCATCACGCTCCTGAGTGTGGAGAAAACCTGCCAGTGTGTGCCCAGTAGATGACTTTGCCCCTCATAACCTGTGGTACATAGAGCCGGCCAGGAGGACCCTTACCTGAACCTGGGTCAGTCTTAAGTGCCTCCAACACCTGATCCCGGATCTTCCATGTGACTCCACCCACCACACATGCCGGGGGAGAATTGTGGAGGGCTCGACCTCCTGATCTTGAGCGCACTGTCTAGAGAGGGCGTCTGGTTTGGTATTCTTAGGACCTGGGCGATAAGAAATCTGGAAATTAAAACGGGAAAAGAAAAGAGATCACCCGTACTGCCGTGGGTTAAGCCTCATTGCCTCTCTTAAGTAGACCAGGTTTTTGTGATCTGTCCAGATGATGAAAGGTGTCTCAGCTCCCTCTAGCCAGTGTCTCTACTCCTCTATTGCGAGCTTCACAGCCAGAAGCTCTCTGTCGGCCATGTCGTATCTGCTTTCAGTGGGGTTTAAACGGCAAGAGAAAAAAGCACAAGGGTGAAGTTGATTGTCCGAGGGAGATACCTGAGAAAGAACTGTGGCTACACCGGTGTCTGAGGCATCCACTTCAAGTGTAAACTGGCATTGGGGATCAGGTCGGTGGAGCACAGGGGCGTTTGTAAATCTCCTCTTTAGTGTCTGGAAAGCAGCCTCGGCTTCTGGGGACCAAACAAACGGCCGATTAATAGAGGTCAAGTTTGTCAGAGGGGCGGCTGTCCAACTGTAGTTCCTGATAAACCTCCTATAAAAACTGGTGAATCCCAGGAACCTCTGCAGTTGTTTACGGGACATCAGTGTGGGCCATTCAGTGATAGCATGGACCTTCTCGGGGTCTGCCTTCAACCTCCCGCTCTCAATGATGAACCCTAGAAATGTTACCGTAAGGACATGAAACACACATTTCTCAGCCTTCACATATAGGCATTTCTCTAGGAGGCACTGTAACACAGACCTAACATGCTTAACGTGTTGTTCCTCAGAACTAGAGAAGATTAAAATATTGTCTAAGTAGACAGTCACAAACTTATTCAAATAGTCTCCCAAAACAGACTTCACTAGGGACTGAAAAACAGCTGGGGCATTAGTCAAACCAAAAGGCATCACCAGATATTCGAAATGTCCGATGGGTGTCTTAAATGCAGTCTTGCACTCGTCCCCCTGACAAATCCGTACCAAATGGTAAGCATTTCTAAGGTCCAAATGACTGAAAGTGGCATCCTGAATGGGCTCAAAGGTAGAAGTTAACAATGGCAGAGGGTACTTATTCTTAACAGTTATCTATTAAGACCCCTGTAGTCGATGCAAGGTCTGAGCATTCCCTCCTTCTTAGGAACAAAGAAAAAACCAGCTCCCAGAGGCGAGGAAGACGGTCTGATGAGTCCGGCGGCCAGAGACTCCTGAATGTAGCTTTCCATGTTCTCTCTCTCAGGCTTCGAGAGGTGATAAAGGAGGCTGGAGGGAAGAAGAGCTCCAGGCAGCAGATCTATGCTGCAGTCGAAGGGTCTGTGAGGAGGAAGTGAAGAAGCCCGATCCTTACTGAAAACTTGACTGTGGTCGTGGTAGACTGGTGGCACTGCAGATAAATCAATCTTTTCCACCGGAGGGTCAGCGGGACTACGGAGGATCGGAGAGGCTGAGCGGAGGCAGGTCTGTGAACATTCGGGTCTCCTCTCCTCTACTCGATTCATTTTCCAGTTCACGTGGGGGTTGTAGAGAGACAGCCAGGAGTGACCCAGGACCAGCAGAGACTGAGGAGAGGGAAATACATAAAAAGCCGAAGTCTCCTTGTGGTTACCGGACACCTGTAACTGCAGAGGGATGGTCTGGTGAGTGACGGTGGATAGGTTCCGGTCGTCCAAAGATGACACGGAGAGAGGAGTAGGTAGCCGAACGGTACGGATCTTCCATCTCTTCACCAAGTCAGGGTCCATCAAAGATTGCTCACAGCCAGAGTCAACTAGTGCCTCGAGTGTAAACTGCTCAGAATTTAAAAACACAGAACACTGGAGTATGCAACGGGAGCTTGCAGAGGCTGAGTTATTGCCCACCAGTAGTCCCGTCTTTGCTGGTGGACTCTGCCTTTTGACAGTACTGGGCAGGCTCTAGCGAAGTGTCCAGACTCCTCACAATATAAACACAGACCTGACCTTACACCATGTTGTCTCTCCTCCTGGGTGAGGTGAGTCCTTCCCATCTGCATGGGTTCATCTGGGCTCTGCAGAGGAGCAAGGACCTGAACCATGATTACGGTCAGGAGTGAAGGAGGTTCTGACACTGGAACTCTGGTGCCGCAGCTCATGATGGCGCTTATCGATGGAAATAGCCAGGTGAATGAGTTCCTCCAGCGAACGGGGTTCCGGGCACAACGCCAGCTGGTTCCGGACTCGGACGTTGAGGGACTCAGTGAAAACAGCAAGAAGGGCATCCTCATTCCAGGAAGACCGTGCTGCCAAACTTGGGAACTCCACCGACATATCCGCCACCGATCTCTGACCCTGCGATAAATTCCATAGCCGTTTTCTGATATCCGTAACGGACTCAGTACTGCCAAAAGTCAGCTTGAAATCAGTTAAAAAGTCTTCAAAGGGACCAGATAGGAACGTGGAACAGTGACTCTTCGCTTCCACCCATCTCAGGGCTCTTCCGCGAAGTAATCCATCACGCGATCTTAATTGAGTCTGTGGTGAAAGCTCCTGGTGATCGTTCGAATGCGAGTCAACATTGTAAAAGGAAGCTGTAACAGTCCTCGAACTCGCCGCTGAAGGTCAGAGATGGCAGTTATGCGGCTGGACGGAAGTGGGGGACTTCTGTGGGAACTGCTGCTTCAAGTCCGGGGACAACAGGAGTAACAGAGGCGGCCAGCGGAGGTTCCGAAGCGGAGGCCTGAGTCTGCGGTCGGGACAGCCTGTCGTGTATCTGCCGCACCAAGACCTCCAACTGCTGGTATCGGTTGTTTGCTGCGTGTAACTGCTCCATTAGCAGCGGCAGGGCTTGTTCATGTCGTTCATCTGTGGAGCAGATCAGTGAGAGGTGTGTCTGCGGGGCTAGCGGTTTGGCCGGATGATTCTGACATGGTTTGGGGAATGCGTTCACAAAAAATCCTAGAAACACTAGAGCACAAAATCCACGAGTCGCAAGAGGGAAGGAAACTACCAAGCTGTAGTAATCATCCGGCGTCGAGGAGTGTTCTCCATCCTCCTTTTGTAGCCAGACCCGCTGCTTGCAAATCAGCTGCAGCTGGAGCCTCCCTCTCCTGAAACACACAACTCAAAGATGGGAAAATAAGAGGAGTACTCACCCCGGCACATGACAGAGGTAGCTTGAACAATCAAGCAATAAACAACATAAATTCTTCACTTTTGGACTTTATTGCAAATATAAAAAGTCTAATATAAAAACAGATAGCACTTCAGCTTAAAATACCTGCCAGGGGTCTATTTTGCCTCGGCCCCCAAAATGCTTAGATACGTCCCTGGGCATGGGGCGGAGAATTGAAGATTATCTGAATTGTATCAACTATATAAATACTACATGCTGATAAATGATTGCTTTATACAGGTACAAATGTGTAGTGGGATAAATCCACCTACATTTTATTTATTTAAGAACTTTGTTTTGTTTTCTTGGTTTTTATTTTCTTGTTTTCCTGTCCTGTCTGTCTCTGATCTTCCTGCATCTCTCAGTCCTCCAGAAAAATTCCTGCCTGCTTCCTTCTTTTTCACCTCACAAGTAACTTTTTAACTAGCAGATCAAATCGATCTATTGACCGCAAAAAATGCGGAGTGTGCGCTGCCGTGCGAGCGCGTCCACACGTCATGCTCAAATACAGGCAGAACTTACCAGAGAGAAAATGAACGGACACGAACGACAGTGTGTTAATTATATATTTTTGGTGACGCCACTTAGAAACTTAGAAAATGTTACTGTGGCCGTGTGCAGAACGCAGCTGGAGTTCATGAATAATCAGCGGTCTGCCTGCCGCTCTGCATCTCTGCTCTAAAGAATCCCTGCTGCGCGGCGTCCATGTAAATAATGTATTATAGGTAGAAACTGGATCTCTTTGTGCTCCTTCTGGGTGTGTAGGTTAAGGGCATCAGGGGAGCCTGACAACCTTTAAGGAGAACCAAGTTGTTCTCCTGTAATTTGAACCCAGTATCCAACTCCGGATCGGGGCTTGGATTGGGAAGTAAAGCCCGAGTCCCGATCAGTCTGAAACCACGAGATTGGGCTGATTTCCGATCATGTGATCGGATCGGGACATCCCTACCCATGACCATAGATGAGGGTTGGATCTTAGATCAACAGATAAATAAAGAGCTCCATCTTCCAGCTTAGCTCTCTCTTCACAATGAAATTTGGCAATGAAAAATACTGACTTTTATGTATCAGTGCCGATTGAAAATTTTTGGTTGGTACTAAAGAGGAACAGAATTTCTGCACCTAACCCTACTGTAGAAGGTGCTAGGTAAACACAGGCCATTTTAGCACAGCTAATTTATTGGAAAAAGAAACAAGTTAATGAAAAGTAAAATAATTAGTAGCTTCATGTGGAACCTTGACTCTGTGCAAGCGGATTATGTCTCCATTCTGAAAGATTTTAGGGTGGTCGTCCATCTCCCTGCAGAAGATGGTGCAGACAATCTTCTGGTTGGATTCATCAGTGATCTTCAAGCTGGAGCAGTAATCTGTGGGAAGACAACTTCCTGGAATCATCTTTGTGATTGCCATCAACATAAATAACTATAACAGACACTATTTAAGTAATAGTAAAGACACTATTTTCCTTCACATGGGCTGCCCTGTTGTATTTATGTTTGAATCCAATCAGGCATCATTTTTCTATTTGGAGAAAATGAAAAAATCAAAAGCAGGTCAGGAAATGGTCACAGGAAATGGTTAGTTCATTACTGCGGGCAGACTAAAAATGGCCCCTTTTTCAAACTCCTAAAGCAGCTGGTAATCTATCAACTCAACTGGTTATCGTCATCTGGCAAGCAGGTCTAGAATTGGATCACCATCAAAAATGTCTAAAAGATCTAATGTCTTTTTATTTCATCAAGACCTTTGAAATGTACAATTATGGATACATTTCATCCAATCATTGTGCACGTTGCGTTCTTATCGACTGGATCGTAACCATTCATCAAACTGGGCAGGGATAATTTCACTACCGTGTGTCAAGCATGACAGCAGAGGAGGGGTGTGCGTTACATTTCGCCAGGCCTATGGAGCGCTGGGGGAAACGCTGCATTTTGCCACTTAAATAGTTAGTACTTAGTTAAAAAACATTTGACCTTAGACACAATAAATACCAACTGCTATCTGGGACTTATGCACTTGTATTACAACAGCAAACCAACCTGCAACTTAATTAAGCTACAACAGAAAAGAAAAGAAAGAAAATCTTTTATATAGCACCTCAAGATAAAAATCACGAGGTACTTCACAAGAACAAAAAAATTCTAAACATAAAGATTTTTTTAATGATTATAAAATATGGTTAAAATGAGAAGAAACTGATTAAAAATGTAAGGAAACGGAAAGAGAAAATGAATAGGAAAGAGGGAAATCAGTGGATCCGGGGAACGGCAGAGTTGGTGTAACAAAAAAAAAGGCTGGAGAGTCTGTTGCAAACCTTTATACGTGTGCAAAATCTGTTGGGAAAACATGTATAAATAGAGGCAATTGTTTTGTAAAGGGTTTTCAATAAACACGTAGGATCCATTACAACTAAACAAGCTAGCTTTTAATCACAAACACAGAACTCTCAGGCCCCCAATGGCTGTCATCCCTAGCTCATGTCCCTGTGAGAATGCACATTACCAAAGGAAACTAGATAGCGCTAAACACCAGTCACAGTTTTCTAGGTCCAAACATCTTGTTGTCCACAACTTCAACTGGTGTTTTTATTTTTGGGACTATGGTAGTTTGTCCTAAAGTTGAAGTGGTAGCAGCTAGGGCTGAAACGATTCCTTGAGTACCTCGAATAGTTTGAGTACAAAAATTCCTCAAGTCAAATTCTCTGTCTCGAGGCTTCGTTTAATTCATGTTTAATTAATCCATGGCTTTGCAATCGCCCGGGGTCATGTTTCACCCGGAATGAAATAAGTGACGCACATACACACTGCACTGAATGCACACGCGAGGAGCGAATGTAACTTAACTTTCTCTTAAGCCATGGCAGACAACGTGGACCCCGGTGGAGTGCGAAAAAGACAGAAAATGTCAAAGGTGTGGGGCAATTTTTCACGTTTTAAGGCGGAAAACATAGTCCAGTGTAAATACTGTAAAATGGAATTAACCTATCACAACACCACATCCACGTCCAGGTGCTGCAGCACCTGACCAGGAAACATCCACATGTAAATGTCATTTCTGCAGATGGACTCGGAGGTCTGCTATATATTCTGCGGACACTGTGCGACTCTTTCGTTTGTAGCACTCAGTTTCAGCTCACACTGTGTGTCTGGTAGCAACACGTCGGACCTAAAAATGTGCTAAAAATAGCAGTTTTTACACAACACGTCAGACTTTTTATTGTGTTGTTATTGACGTCTGTTGTCCCTCAGGATTGCTGCAGGAGGACACGGGTATTTATGAGAGTGGCGGAGGAAAACGAAAGAAAGTAAATGTTTAGTGATCAGTATAATTGACAAAACCACGGCAAACATGCACAATCCTTGTTTCAGGTTGTTTACTTATTTTTTGCACAGGCATTTGTTTACTGTGAAGTAAAGCTGATGTGCTGAAGTTAAGAAAATTAATTTTGAATAAAACTTGAAGAATAACTGGCAATTGCAGGCTCATTTTAAGAGGTCTTTCATATTTTATAACATGATATTTGATATAATGGTTTACAAACGCAAAAGGGTAATTTATTAGAGTACTCGATTAATCAATAAAAGATTCAATAGAGTACTCGATTACAAAAATAATCGATAGCTGCAGCCCTAGTAGCAGTCAGCCTGATATTATGAGCGGAGAACCTCTCACACCAGTGGTGTTCTGGTGCTAAATACGTGAGTGTGTGATGAGTGGACGACCCACAGAAATGTGGGAGTGAGGTGGCTTGGTGAGACCGACAACTGGATGGTCCAGTTGTTGGTATTGGACCAAGCCATGTTATTGGCAAATGTGAGAGAACCACTTCCTGTTTTTTCATTATTTTTAATCTCCACAATATATTTATAGCTATACTAAGTTGGAATGTCGTTGAGAAGCATGAAAAAAGGTTTAAAGCTGGCTTGTTTTTAAGATTTGCTGTTTTCTTTAATCAGTGTTTAGCAAAGACCCAAAATTTGCACCAACTAGAGCAGTAAAGTAAGAACTATTGGAATCAGCACGAGTCAACACATGGAAAAATGATCAGAGTTGTATTTTTTAAACAGATTAATGTCCTGTTTATTTACACTAAAGGAGCAAAGCTCCAAAGTCACACTGGCACAGCTAGGAAGAGTTTGTTCTGCTTCCACTTTCACTTACTGGTACCTTATCTGGGTCTACTGCTTATATATGTCAGTGGTGTAGTGCTGCATGTCTATTAAGGGTCTACTGAAGCATATCATTGGGTGTTCTGTGTTCTTGACTCACCTGTGCCATAGGACTTAAATGGCTGTTTAAAGAACACCACCACGCCGTACACGTTAACAAGTTCCTCTGCCTTCAGATCACTCAGCTTTACATATGTGTGCTTGGGAGGCTTAAGAAAAACAAAAGAAATGTGATAAAGCATCAGTCCAAGTGGCCACGTTGGTTAGAATTTTATGAAGCCAACAAGACGCGAGAGAAAGGCCTCAGCCTGGGCCTCACATTAATAGATGTTTGACCATTTCTACTCTCTGAACTTTAGTTGTGTCCTCTCTGTGGGTTCGTGTTTGGATGTTAATCACAGAATCATTTTGGACACAGAGGGCAAGCTGTGGTTACTGACTGCACTAATGGATCATCAAAGCAGTTTATGCTTCTTTTTTATCAGTAAGTAAAACTATATTTCTGTACTTTATTTCACTGGTTGAATGGGGGAAAAGCTTTGTCATTTAACTGCTTGGTCAAACATGTTAGTGGGGCTGCATCAGAAACTTGAGTGGGTGCCCACTTCTCCTGTCTCCTGCTCAGGAACAGTTGTTGGAGCAGGTGGCTGGCTGTTCCCGTTTGCCGGAGCAGCCGGGACGCGTGGACCAGCTCCTATGCGAGGTTGTAGTCATGCTGGTCACTTGTGGATCTCTGAGGGAGACCACAAAAACACTGCAGCTCTTTTAGTTCACGCTGCTTCATTTTTGAGCCGCTCAACCGCATTTGTCTCACTAATAGTTTGGGGGGGAATTCTGTGCGTTTACCATAACACCGCTTGGTCTAAGATGGGTTGAAATAAAATGTGTTGGTGGGGCTACTGGGTAACGAAACTAGAGCTACGTATCTGACCGAGGATAGCAGAGTCTATTGGGCTTTGCTGTTCCACCTCGGTCAAAGATCTGTGAGTACACCAGCGCTGTGTCGACATGCAGCCAGGAGCCATGTTAACACTGCCATACTCGCGGATCTTTGACTGTGGTGGACCAGCGAAGCCCATTATCCTTGGTCAGCTTACCTAGTTATGATTTTGTCACTAAGCAGGCTGGAGGTGCCTTCACTTTGGCACCTCCAGCTTTACATATGTGTGCTTGTGTTTTTCTTGCAAAAAATGCTGCTGGCTTCGGGTTAGCTTGTAGCTAATGTCCCGCTGATCTCTGACCTTGGAGCACGAGCTGATGAAAAAGGCCAGGGTGCCGGCTACAGTCCCAGTCTATGTTAGATCTCCACAAGCGACTAGCATGACTACAGCCTCGCACAGAAGCCAGGTGGCCATGCGAGTGGGCTACCTCAGAGCCCCTTCTTAGCTTCTTGGGTTAGCTAACTTAGCTAGTAGCTACATTAGTTAATTTGTTCCAGCTGTAACAGCCCCACCCTCAGCTCCACCTCTGTTTCCCATTTTTGGATCATCTAGGCATGACAAGACGTGTGACACGGCCAAAATGTCAGTGGTGGCGTGAACCTCCCATTTGGCTTCCAATCTGCCCTCCACAGAGCAATGGTCGGGCTATGTCAATCCTTGTTATATGTCGTTGGTCTAGGCCAGCGTGCCGTGCTGCATACCAACACTCATAATATTAAAGTTCTTTTAAAGCATATATTGGAAAATGGGCTGCATTTGCCAACAGTTACCAGAGGTATGTACCACAATCAGATTATTATGGATGTACATGTCCATATGAACAAGATCCTGTGCATTTCAGCTGACGATTACAATTATGAGCAGCTACGAATGTTAAAACATCAGCAACAAAAGGTTATATAAAGATTAGAATGATGAGCTCATTGGTTTAAGTTTAAAGTACTCATGGCTTTAGATCTGGACTTGAATTAATAATTATTTTTATCACAGTTTTACACATTTCTTTCTTTCCTGGAAACTTGACATGTCTGAATAAGATTACTGACTAAAGTTGTCGTTAAAGATCAGTCTGCGCCTACATACTAGTCCTTGTCTGGTACAGCACAGCCCTACTCACTGTAGTATCAATGCTGACCCAAAAAATCCCTTCGCTCAGCTCAGAAAGGCTTGCTAGTGGTCCCCCACTTCAAGCGGAAGCCCAGGATTGACCGTACCTTTGTCATGGCCACCAGGCTTTGGAACAATCTCCTGCTTTAGATTAAGTATTTCTCATTTCATAAGATTTTTATTGTCAGTACAGATCACTGATATAGTGCAGTAGTCTGTTTTTGCTGTTTTATGTTATTTTTCCAGCTTCTTTTATCTACAATTCTCAAAATAAGGACCCACTTTACTGTGCTGTGGTTTATTTATTGTCTACCTGGTCCAAACAGTTCTTTCCTTCAGGAGTTTAAAGACTTTGTTGGTCATTTGAAAATTCACATTGATGATCCCTCAGACTACTTAGCGATGGCTTTCTCCAACCTCATGGACTCCTTCAGCTTTACCCAGCATGTTTCTGGCCCCACACACACAAGAAGACACACTCTAGACCTTGTTTTTACCCTGGGTCTAAATGCTGACAGTGTTTGCCCTAAGGACATTTATATTTCAGATCACCGCTGCATTTAACTTGTCAGTTTCTGCATCCCCACCTCCTGGTTGGTTCACGTTTTTTTTAATGGGAGACCAGCTAGCAAATTTTCTACTGCCAGCAGCCTTTCCCAGGATCTACCGTCTTCCCTCTTTCATTTTCTCTCTCCCTTTCCTTAATTTTTTAAATCACAATTTTCATTTTTTCTCATAGTAAAAATATTTCAAAATATTTAAAATCTTTTTTCATACTTAATTTTTTTTTTTTGTTCTTGTGAAGCGCCTTGTGATTTTTCTCTTGAGAGGCACTATATAAGATTGTTTTCTTTATTTCTAATAAAGGGACCACTTAAACAACACAATGTAACTCCAAGTCAATCTCACTTCTGTGAAATCAAACTGTCCTCTTAGGAAGCATCACTTATCAGTTCCACCACTGCTGTGCAAATGGAACAAACAATAGGTGGAAATTACAGGCAATTAACTAGACATTCCCAATAAATGAGTGGTTTTGCTGGTGGTGACCACTTCTCAGTTCCTCTGCTCTGGCTGATGTTTTGGGCTGTTTTGAATGCTGGCAGTGCTTTCACTCTAGTGGTAGCATGAGACGGAGTCTACAACCCACACAAGTCGCTCAAGTAGTGCAGCTCATCCAGGATGGCACACCAATGTGAGCTTTGCTGCATCTGTCAGCATTGTGTCCGGAGCATGGTGTTACCAGGAAACAGGTCAGTACACCAGGAGGCGTGGAGGAGGCCGTAGGAGGGCAACAACCCAGCACCAGGACCACTACCCTATGCCACTGGGCAAGGGGGAACAGGTGGAACATTGTCAGAGCCCTGCAAAATAATATCTAACGAGCCACAAATGTGTATGTGTCTGCTAAAAGGGTCAGAAACAGACTCCGTGAGGGTGGTATGAGGGTCCAACTTCCACAGATAGGAGTTGTGCTTACAAGTGATTGGTAAATTCACCACTGGCACCCTGTGGTGTTCACAGATGAAAATTATGTTCACACTGAGCACATGTGACAGATGTAACAATGTCTGGAGACACCATGGACAACATTCTGCTGTCTGCAACATCCTCCAGCATGACCAGTTTGGCTGTGGGGTGGCATTTCTTTAGAGGGACGCACAGCCTTCCATGTGGTCGGCACAGGTAGTCTGACTGCCATTAGGTACTGAGGTGAGATCCTCCGACCCTAATGAGACCATAAGCTGGTGTGGTCAGCCCTGGGTTCCTCCAAATGTAAGACAATGCTACACTTCATGTGGCTGGAGTGTGACAGCAGTTACTGCAAGACAAAGGAATTGAGGCTAAGGGCCCATTCCCCAGGTCTGAATCCAATTGAGCACATCTAGGACTTCATCACTCGCTCCATCCACCAGCCACGTTGCACCACAGACTATACAGGAGTTGGCAAATGCTTTAGTCCAGGTCTAGAAGGAGATCCTTCAGCATACCATCCACCAGCTCATCAGGTGCATACACAGGAGTTGTAGGGAGGTCATACAGGTACGTAGAACCCCCCACACACACTGCTGGGCCTCCTTTTGACTTGTTTTAGGGACATCAAAGTCGGATCAGCCTGAAGTGTGAATTTCCACTTTAATTTTGAGTGCGACTCAAATCCAGACCTCATGGGTTGATACATTTGATTTCCATTGGTCATTTTTGTGTGATTTTGTTGTCAGCACATTCAACTATGTAAAAAACAAAGTCTTTAGTAAGAATCTTTGATTCATTCGGATCTAAGATGTCTTATTTTTGTGTTCCATTTATTTTTTGAGCCGTGGATTTATTTGTGCCATCCGCCTCATCTGTTTTTATACTTTGTACAGCCCCTTGAGCCTCCTTGGCTGGTGGCAGGGATGTGCTTTATAAATCATCTAACTAACTGGCCGACTGACTATACATGAACCAAGATGACAACAATGCTCTCGTCCATTGACTGACTCACCTTAGCAGTGAGGGAGGAACTCCTGTTGCTGGCAGATGAAGGTCCAGGGTCTGGAGGTGGCTGCTGGTGTGCCACCTTTGTAGGACAGAGAAGTTGTCAAACCCAAGAGACAAAACTAGAAACAAACTAACTGAAACAATTAACAGCCAGTTTAACCCTGACAGAGACTGACAGAAGCTGATGATATCAGTGTCTGACCTTTGCTGTGAAAGTGAAACAAAAGCAGAGAATGATTAACTTGTGTTTTGACCTCTTTGTCTTTCATGAAGACAAGAACAAAATAATAGATTGTTTCCTCCTCACCGGCGCCAGCAACAGGACTGATCTGACAGCAGTCAATAGACTTACTAATAATCAGGACCTAGGTGAAAATGATCATTTATGGCATTTTTTGTGGGACTGGGAAAACTAAATATAGATGAACAGAAACATCATCAGATGTCATTGAGGTCGTTTTCCTGCCTGTGCAACACAGACCGAGTCATGTGGACAATCTTGTGTTCTAATCTGAACTGTCAAAGCCTTGAGCTTTTATTTACAACACGACACCAGGAAGACATGCAGAGGTGCAGATAGTGAGGGGAGCAGTACGTCTGCAACCCTAACCCTAACACACAACATGCCTAACCCTAAACCTAGAAGTCATTATTATTTATGCAGTACTGAAAAAACAGGTTAATTAAAGTGCTCACATAGATGCATGCTTGGTCTGATGTCAGAAGCAGGTTAAAGGGGTGACGCTTGTCTGATTTGGCGGTGGGAGATTTTCCTACAGTGAAGCCAGAGACCACCACCACATCCTGCAGAAAAACACAAGACAAACAACAGACTTAAAAACAACAAGGAATTACTGCTGTGACAAATACATATCTGTCCTCCCAGAAGGCGGACAGACTGAAGCAGCAGATGTTGCATCCTTGGAGACGCTAAGCAAGACATCACAACAAGACTCAGATAATAATCTGGTGTGAAAAGTGAAGATAGTGTTGTGTTTGGCCTGTCAGCGTCCACTCAGGGCTGATAACAAGACAGCAGATCATCTGAATCATCATCATCTTGCAGAGATAAACATCCTTAAGGATGTCTGATCCACTGCCGAGCGCTGCAGCTGCTCGGGCTGCGCTGACTTCCTGGGCTGTGAGTTCTCAGAGAACGGAACCAGAAGCCTAGTGAGACGCTGCTAAGGAGGATTATCGCTGAAGTATTGCCCTCCTGTGACACTAACACACTCAACTCGGCCTTCACCTTCACCCAGAGGCACAGGTGTGTCGGTGTGTGTCACCCAAGTCCGAGTTAACTCAGCAAATAATCCTCAGCCGCATGTATACTTTTGTTCTCCAGGCTCTTCTGTTTACATGTGGTTACCCTGGCAACAACTTGTGCAGATAAACACTAAATGAAGTCATGTAAAGGGACATTTTAGTCTAACTGATCAACATGGAACTAAAAATACAACAGAAAGCCCTGTAAAAGGCACATTTAAGATTCACTCTTAAACAAAATAAGAAGGTGAAGAAGCCTCATCTTTGTGCAGGGTAGTGATTGTGACATCATTAAAAATATAATAAGCTCCAGTCTGCAGTTTGACAAGGGTGAAAAGGATGTGAAGAGCAAACAGAATTTTGTTGCTGCACAAAATGGACAGAACAGCATATTTGTACAAAACCAGTCTAAAGACCTTCTAGGGCTCCAGGGTCGGACTGTAGACTGATCCGACTTCCAGAACAGTGCTGAAACAGTTTCTCAATTCAAAACCATTACATTATAAAACATCCTCAAGGCAAAGCAAACTGTTTCACCTTCCACAGAAACAAACCAAAACGATCCCTTAAACCCACGGGACAGCCCACCACTGAGTGGAGACCTATCCTACAGGGTGGGGTATAACCACATTATTAACCCTGGAAGAACCACTGATGCGTTCCTGAATGGAACTGGATTTACTGAAGAAACTACCCATCTGTATATGAGACCAGCGCCAGACAGAAAATATAAATCCAATATGGAGGATCAGTCTATGGACCTTACAGGTGTTAACATGATCTTTCTGCAGGACCAGGTCCTGTTGGACATACATGTGAGTTTCTCAGCTGTTACGAGGAACTCAACCGAGATCAAAATCTCATCACAAATGACTTTGATCAACTGGCATAATTTTATGCAAAATGGAGCAAAAGCAAAAAAAAGAAGGATTTCCAGATGAAAACACCAGCGTTACGACCCCGCTCGTGGGATCACTACATAAGGAGGAGGTCTGGACATTGTGTGAGTTAAGAGTATTTTTACTCCAAAAGGCCTCAACTGCAACATGAGCATGAGCAATCAAGGTGATCTCCCTGAAGCTGCACCAAACAGGATTCTATCCTGCAACCACAGGTGCAGCCACTCTGGCTGTGTGCAATCAGGGACTGCACACAGCCAGGCCAACTGAATAGAGGCCTGCTAGAAAGCTAGAGCTGGATGAGGCCCTGGTCTCCATGATGGTGAAGGATACACAGCCCTTCACCATTGTGGAGGATGTTGGATTCCGAACATTTGTGTCCAAACTAGATCCCAATTGTGTTTTTTCACACAAGGCAGGTATGTACGGTGGCATGCATATTATAAATGAGTATGTTACACTATTTAGCTGTATATATATTACTTTCCCTTTAGGCTCTGAAGGCCATGGTGGAGGTCAGATATGAATCAGCTAAAGAGAAGGCTAAGGCTCAAGTGGAAAAGTGGCAGCTATAAACCTTACTTCTGACATGTGGACTTCTATCAACATGGATGTCTACCTTGCTGTAACCTGCCATTTTGTAGACGACAAAACCAAACTAGGTTCAGTGCTGTTGGGTGTGCAGGCATTCCCCCAATCGCACACTGCTGTAAATATAGCTCGTGTGAAAGCTTCCCTGATGGAGGATTGGGGAATCACTAGCAAGGAGGCATACATGGTCAATGATAGGGATGAGCCAATGCTAGCATTGGAAATACTTGCGGATTCTGGCAAAAATGAGGGTATTTGGATTGGCGAGTACTTATTTTTAAACATGAACCGATACCACGTAAACGGGATCTTCCCCTGCCAAACTCCACAAGACAGAGACAAAGGAAGAGACGCAATCTTGCTAGGCAGAGTGGGACCCGCTGCACACGAGGCATTGTTTTGCTAGCGCTTAGCATTAGCAGTATGTCAGCAATTTGGTGTTTCTTTTCTTTAGAAAACCCTACTAGCAGGACGGCTACATGCCTAATATGCCACGCAGAAGTTTCCAGGGGAGGTGTGAATGCTGCCAAATTCAACATGAGCAACCTTATTAAGCACTTGGGCTGTCAGCACATAAAGAGCATGGAGAATGTATTGCCTTAAAGGAGAAGCGAAGCGAACCACAGCAACAACAAACACTGTTAAACGCCTTTAAGAGCCGCAAGAAATATACCCAAGACAGCAAGAAGGCCACTGCAATAACGGACAAAGTTTTAGAATTTATTGTCCTGGATGACCAGCCGCTGTCCGTTGTAGAAAACGTTGGCTTTCGCCGCCTCGTTGAACACTTGGAGCCACGTTACTCTTTGCCAGGACGGAAGCTCATCGCTGAGACTATATGAAACCATGAGTCAGCATATTTCACACAAGCAAAAATACTTTGCTGCAATAAGTTTTACAACAGACATTTGGACCTCAGATGTGTCACCTATGTCTTTACTGAGTTTGACGGCACACTGGGACCAAAGAGCAGTGCTACATGCTAATGAGATTCGTGGTTCTCAAACAGGAAAAGCAATTGCCAAAGCTAATCAGGGAATGCTGGAAAAATGGAAAATACCAAAGTCCTGTGTGCACGTTGTCTTGCGTGATAATGCAAGCAACATGAAAAAGCCATGGAAGCAATGAATATAAAAAGTTTAGGGTGCTTTTCACACAGTCTCATGTTGGTGATGAAGGAAGGGTTGCTGTCCCAGAGAAGCGTAATTGATGCCCTGGCGAATGGTAGGAAGATTGTTTCCCACTTTAAGCACTCACCAACTGTCACTAAACACCTGGAGGGTATTCAGAAGGAGCTAATAGTTCCAACTAAGCATTTGCAACCAGATGTGTCCACAAGGTGGAACAGCACCTACATGGTTGAAAGTTTATTGGAGCAAAAGAGGTCCATTTCAGCATATGGAGCTGACCACGAACTACCAGCCACCCTGACAGCTAATCTGTGGTCCTTGCTGGAGAAGACTATTACTGTTTTGGAACCATTTGAGGAGCTGGCAAGACATCTGAGTTCTTCCACCTCATCTGCTGCTGAAGTCATCTCATCTGTCAGCATAGTAAAATGCCTTCTTTCGAGAAAACAAGAACGACACTGGCATCAAAACTATGAAAAGTACAGTCCTTGAGGCTGTCAATAAGCGATTCTGCACCATTGAGGAAGAGCTATTGTATGCAGTTGCAACTCTTTTGGATCCACGTTTCAAAGACAGATAAATCATCTTTAAATAATTAATAAGTATTTCTTTAAAAAACAATTCAATAACGTTAAATAAATATCATGAATTTATAAACAATTAGCAAGCTTTTATTGTTGACTTAATTTACTACATTTACATATTTATTGTAATGAATTACTGATTAATTGACATTAATAAAATAACTGTATAGCAGAACAAATGGTTACTATTCTTTTAACATTCTTGTCACAAAAAAGTTCTTTTTGTTAAATAATTTCTGCTTGTCATTTTAGGTTCTTCACAGTTTCAAAGTGCATTATGCGTGCAAAGGAGATGCTACTGCAAAAAATGGAGAAAATGCAGTCACCAAGCAAGTCCACCACAGCTGAGGAGTCAGAGCCCATGCCAGAAAACCCTCACAAAACTCCTCGGATGGAGGAACAACCAAGCAGCAGTGGCAGACAGAGAAACTTGAAGGTCTTGTTTGATGAAATCCTTCAGGAACTGGATGTACAAGGTGGGGCAAGCAATGCAACCACACTAGTCCAACTGAAGACTTGTTTGTCAGAGTCAACCATTTCTCAGTCGAACAACCCGTACCTATACTGGGAGGTTAACCAAGTTCGGTTTCCCACCCTGGCTGCAGCCAAGTTCCTCTCTGCTCCTATTACCAGTGTGGACAGTGAGAAACTTTTTAGTGTAGCCACCAACATTGTGGTTCCACAGTCGTCCCCAGAACAGAACCAGCCATTTTTATTTAGTTGTTGAGCCTTTTCAGGTCCCTGCTTCTGATGCTGCTACCCCAACAGACGATGGCTGAAGAGATTACACTCTCAACAACAGACATGTAGAAGATCTGCAGCATCTTGCTACAGACATTGAAGGACCTAAGCATCCTCAAGAAGTGCAGTCTGCTGTGCCCCTTCTTGTAAACGGCTTCGCTGTTCTTTCTCCAGTCCAGTCTGTTGTCCAGGTTAACTCCAAGGTATTTGTATTCCTCACCACCTCCACTTCTTCTCCCATGATGGAAACAGTGTTTGACTCCACCCTGTTTCTTCTGAAGTCTAAAATCATCTCCTTTGTTTTGTTCATGTTCAAGGTCAGATGATTGTTTCCACACCATGCCACAAAGCGCTCCACCAGCTCTCTGTACTCAGCTTCATGTCCATCTCTGATACACCCGACAACTGCAGAGTCATCTGAGTATTTCTGTAGATGACAGGTCTCTGATTTGTACTGGAAGTCTGAGGTGTACAGGGTGAAAAGGAATGGTGAGAGTACAGTCCCCTGTGGTGCTCCAATGTTACTGATCGTCGGGTTAATGTGCAGTTCTTCAGCCTCACAAACTGTGGTCTGTTTGTCAGGTAGTCTTTAATCCAGGCAATAGTTGAGGTCCCCACCTGTGTCTTCTGGAGTTTCTGGCAAAGTACATCAGGCTGGATTGTGTTAAATGCACTGGAGAAATTAAAGAACATGACCATGACAGTGCTGCCTGCTTTGTCCAGAAGACAGTGGATTGGTTGAAGCAGCTGGATGATGGCATCTTCAACTCCAACTCCATGGCGATAAACAAACTGCAGCGGGTCCTGATATGTCCTAGTTTGCTTGTTCAGGTGGACCAACAGGAGTCTCTCCAGGACCTTCATGATGTGGGTTGTCAGGGCAACCGGTCTGTAGTCGTCACTGACTGATGGGCGAGTTTTCTTTGGAACTGGAACAAGGCAGGATGTCTTCCACAGGACTGGAACCTTCTCCTGGGCAAGGCTGAGGTTGAAGAGGTGCTGCAGAATCCCACAGAGCTGCTCTGCACAGGGCTTCAGTACTCTGGGGCTGACACCATCTGGACCTGCAGCCTTGTTCCTGTTCAGTCTCTCCAGCTGCCTCTTCACCTGACTTCTAGAGACAGAAAGGTGGGAGGGGGAGGGAAATGGGGCAGCAGCATCTCCTGACTTGGTTGAAGACAGATTTATAGAACTAGAAGAGTCCATGACTGTGTTAGACGACAAAAGAGCTGGCGTGTGACAGGAAAATGTTGGATCAGAGGAGGAAGGGATGTCTGATTGGCTGGGGACAGGCGAGGAGGATGCTGGGTTTGTTCCTGAACTTGAAGAACTTGTTCAGTTCATTGGCTGTGTCCAGGCTGCCATCTGTGCAATCCTTCCCCTGCTTGAAGCCTGTGATCTTCTTCATCCCTGACCAGACATCTCTGATATTGTTCCTCTGTAGGGCTTCTTCAGCGTCCTGTGAGCATTTTCTCACAGTTCTTCTTGTCACAGGTTGCCTCTGAACAAGTGGTTTGTATTCTGAGCAGAGAAAAACAAGATTGTGATCTGATTGTCCCAGAGGAGGTCTTGCTTTGGACATGTATACATTCTTTACATTTGCATAACACAAATCCAATGTCTTTTTTTCTCTGGTGGAGCAGCTGACAAACTGTTGAAATGTTGGAAGTGTGGCAGAGAGCGAGTTATGATTAAAATCACCAGATATAGCCACAAATGCATTGGGGTGCTGGGTTTGTAGCTTAGCGACAATGGAACTGATGGCATCACATGCACTTTCAGCAATGGCTGAAGGTGGAATATAAACGGATGCCAGGACAACACTTGTGAACTCTCTTGGCAAATAATATGGGCGACAACTTACTGCCAAGAGTTCAACATCTGAGCTGCAGAGACGACATTTCACTGAAACAAGACATGGATGGCACCATCTGATTTTGACAAACACTGCCACTCCACCTCCTTTTCTTTTTCCGCTCCTTTTCAGATCTCTGTCTGCTCATACAGTCAGGAATCCTGGCAGAGAGATGCTGAAATCTGGGATATGGTCCTGCAGCCACGTCTCAGTGAAACACATAACACTGCACTGACGATACTCTGGCTGAGTACTTGAAAGGGCTTGGAGTTCATCCATCTTGTTGGCCAGTGATCTCACATTGCCCATTATGATCGATGGAAGAGAGGGTTTGAATTTCCTCTTTCTTTGTCTCTGTTTTGCTCCCGCTCTGCACCCACACTTCTTGCGTTTTAGCTCATTTGGGATTTGTGGCTTCAGCTGAGGTATTATTTCAGCCTTTTCAATGTTAATCATCTGCTCCCGATTGTAAACCAGCTTGTTGCCATGGTTACACATCATAACAAATGCTCAAAAAGTGCAAAAAATAGCACTAAAAATCCTCTAAGCTTCACAGCACCAGAAACAGAAAAGTAAAATGTCCAAAAAATACCATTTTTCTTGAGAAACTAGAAGAAAAAGGTCCAAAAAAAGGCAAAACTTACTTATAGTCAACAGAGCTACTCCAATATGCAGCCACCCAGAGCAGCGTAGTTCTGGAACTTTGATAGGCCATTCAATGACAGTAACAAAAATATACACCCAAATCTATAATAAAACCAAAACCTTTGAATTATAAATTCAATAGACCTCTTTATAAAACAATACTGTTATCGGATTAGTACTTAGTATCGGCAAATACCTATACCCCACGTATAGAAATCGGTATCGGACAGAAAAAACTGGTATCGGAACATCTCTAGTCACTGATGGTGCTCCAAATATGGTTGCCCGTGTGAAAGAGCTGAAGCTTCGCCACCGTATTTGCATTGCCCACATGCTGAACCTGACTGTGAGGAAGGCCCTTGACCAGAACCCTGAGCTCTGACATTCGGGCCAAAGCAAGAAAGGTGGTCGGCTACTTTAGGAGCAGCACCACTGCAAAGGTAAGCACTTGCACTTTAGTCCAATTAATTCTACTAGTTTTTTCTTAGTGGTGTGATATAATGACTTATTCATTTGTACCTTTAAAGGAGAAACTTGCACAAGTGCAGCATCATCTGGGAATGAACAACTTAATGCTAATACAAGAAGTGGAGACCAGATGGAACAGCACTTATTTGATGCTACAACGTTTGGTGGAGCTAAGGGAGCCTGTAGGAGCAGCATTAGCTGGCCTGCAACATGACATCCCCTTTTTAACATCAGATGAGTTTACTCTTGTTGTAGGGTGCATGTCTTGTCTCCATTTTATGATAAGACTGTGGAGCTATCAGCAGAGGAAAATGTGTCTGCCTCCAAAGTGATCCCCCTAATGAAAATGCTGGAGCAAGCACTTCAGGAGGAAGTAACAAAGCCAGCACCTCCAGTTGCACTGGAAATGGGAGAGTGGCTCATCAGGCAACTCAGAGAGAAGCTTCACAATCTGCATTCAATGAGCATCCTGTCACTTGCCACCCTCCTGGACCCCCGGTTTAAGGTGATAGGATTTTTCAGCCAAACAGAAGCATCTGAAGCAATAAAGCGACTGACGTCTGAGTCCTCTATCATCCGTTCAACGCAAAGCAGAGGAAATCCCACAGGCTTCCACTTCTAATGATGTGACAGGGGCTAATGTACCATTTTGAAATCAATTATTCGTATTAAAACACTGAGTAACATGAAATGTGTTTTCCTTTTCAGGAAGCAAACTGTGGCATCGTTAGACACCAGTGTCCAGGAGGCCAACAAGAGTCAAAACGTGACCGCAAATGCCACTGCGGAGGTCCACCTGTCAGAGCCAAACAACAGGCTGGAAAAAACCCTGGAGCATTGGGGAAAGTAAAGATATCGGTTTCCCAATTTGAACCGTTTGGCACTTTTGTTTTTGTGCACGCCAGCATCTTCTGCCCCCTGTGAAAGGGTGTTTTCAAAGGCTGGTGAAGTTGTGTCAAAAAAAGGAATAGCTTATACCCTAAAACTGATGAGAAACTGCTATTTTTTAATAAAAATGAATGAAGTCTCTGTTCTGTAGGCAACATTTTGTTCAAGTTACACAAGCACTTGTGAGAGAAAAACATTATTACACAACCTGCTTTAACATGAAACTTCCATTTTTGGGATAATTTACGGAGAATATCCAAAAATATGCATTTTCTCGTTTGTAATGTTGTGCGTAGAAACCTATTTTTTAATTTATCTTTGGTACTCATTCATTTCCAAATGCTGTTGCAAATGTAATCTAACACACATTAAGTGGCTTAGATCTACAGCTGCCTGTGGTTATAAACTTGGCCAGCAGGAGGTTTGTGTGCACACAAGGCATCATGAGACGAACCCATTCTTGAACCAATTGGCCAAAGTGGTATGATGCCTCGTGGGACTTCCTCTCACCATCACTAAATAAGAGTATTCTTTCTTTAAAGTCAGCCTCTAAAAAGCCTCACCAACTGCCACACAGGCAGGAGCTATCAAGGGGATCTCCCTGAAGCTGCACCAAGCAGGCTTTTATCCTGCACCCACAGGTGCAGCCACTCAGTGCAATCAGGGACTGCACAAAGCCAGGCCAACTGAATAGAGGGGCGTAACAAGCAGGATCTGTTTGTGATGGGCTGTGCTCCTTTTAATCAGAGAAACAGAGGAATCTTTTAGTCCTGGCCTGAAGCTGAGACTACTTGAGCTCTGTGTGAATTTCCAAACGCGTTCTCTTGTAGAAGGATGGAAAGAGACAACAAACACACCGTCAGGGTTTGTAACCACTTAGCATAACACAAAGAAGTAAAAAATAAACTCAATCTGTAAATTAGATTCCGCAGCCAGACACCATGTATGTCATCTTCATTTCAATCAACACTTCATCACAACAGCGTGTGGCACTGGAATCCAGCGAGAGAAGCTGCAGCTAAAGGTGTGGTTCAGGAAAACTCCCAGAGTCAGCCCAACAGCCAAGAGAGAGACATGATTTTCCTTTGTCACAGACCCTAGAAACTAGTCAGGTGGTCCTATACGGACATCAGTAAAAACACACCAATTACATTTAAGCAGTCATTTTGCAACAATGTTTAAGCCTGCATGATAGGAAAGATGTAATGTTAGTAACCTAAAATGATTAAGTTTTTCTTTTTCCTAAGGGTAGCGACCTCGAATATATCGGTTTGTATCGGTACCAGAAATTAAGAGTTAGACAATATCAGTGTATCAGATATCAGTAAAAAGAAACACAAAATCAAATGGCCTCAGTTAAAACAGTTTGCCTTTCAGTAGCTTATAATAATAATAATAATAATAATAATAATAATAATAATAATAGTATTCATCATCAGTTGTCACGCTGTGCTTCAAAGCCCCTTCAGCCTAAACTAACTGTGACTTCATCCCACAGATTTGGATTAAGAGCTGAACAAACCTCCAGACTGACACTGTGACTGAAGTCCTTGGCCAGCACTCCATACAGGAAGGTGTTGATGGAGGAGTTCTCAGAGACCGCATCTTCTAAAAAACAAAATCTAATATCAAAACCAGACAAAGAAGCAGCAGAAAGGTATTTAAATGTAATGATAAATGAACACAGCAAGTTGCTTGAACAGCTAGTACCTTGGATGACGGTTTTAAGCACGAAGCTGCCAGGTGCAGTTTTTGAGAGTGGTCCTTTAAAAAGAACTTTTCCCTGTAAAAAATATTCAAATTAATACTGGGAGTTCCACGCTGTTAAAAATGTCATCTGAATCTAATCAGGGGATTTGTAATTAATTAATCTATATTAATCACATTTTTATCGTTCAATAATATGGGCCACCAAAGCTATTTTAATTAAAAATAATGAGGCACAGAAACTATAAACGTGACATTATTTTGTAAACTCAAGCTCTTTAACTTTCAACAAAACAAAAAACTTACAAAATATATTTCAATTCAAAACAGGAAAAATATACTTCAGATGTACATTAACTTACCAGTGAGTTTTGTAGCAACCTCTGGTATTTATACATATTGAACCTGCAACCTTCCGATGAGTGGACAACCCGCTCTACCTCCCGAGCTACTGCTACCCCTATTACAATCACGTACTGTGAACATCAAAACATCTGTTTTTTGCTTTCATTGTTGCACAAAAGTTAGAATATTAAGAAATTAGTTTATCTCGCGTTTGTAAGCATCTCTAAAGCTCCCTCAAAAAAAGAGTTCAGAGACGATCTCTGAAAACGTAACGTTGGTTATATGGACCTGGTTTGGCATGTTGAGCAGAAAAACGTCCTCAGTAAAATACGCTGGGTGACAGTCTCGTCTGTTAATAGCTTGTTTACGCCAGTTCCCGTAATACTTCCAAACACAGGACATCTCCTGTGATTCAGTTTCAACAGTTTTCCCTCTGCAGTTTCAGCTGTTTCTCCCATTTATTAAAAAGGTCTGGTCTGAAAGCAACCTCTCTCTCTCCCTCCCAATGGTGCAGTAGCGCACCGGGGTGGGTCAGACCCGCGCCCTAACCCAAACCCACAGGAGAACAACCAAGCAGCGACAACAGAGCTTCAGGGACACCAGTTGCAAACCTGAGGGTGACCACACTATTAGTTTGGCTTTTAGAAACTCATCTCTGCTACGTTCTGATCAAATGCATCCAAAACAAGTTTGAAATGAACAGATTGATGCTTCTGACAGGAAAGATCATTGTACCTGCACTCAAAAGCCAAACTTAAATCTATGCCAAATAAAAATAAACTGAAGCAAATCTAGCACCACAGCAGCACCAGAGCTAATTTACAGTGGGTATGGAAAGTATTCAGACCCCCGTCAATTAGGGATGCTCCGATCTGATCATGTGATCAGAAATCGGGCCCGATCATGTGTTTTTGAAAGGATCGGAATCGGGAGAAATAAATCAGATTTAACCTTTTAAAACAACAAACACAACTTTTTAAATTCCTCCTGAGGTAGAGATTTTCATATTGAATAAAATTGATTTCGTTTTTATTTCAATACATTCCTCTAGATCAATAATATTTGTTTCTTGTATGGAAACAACAGTAATGTCTCACAATTGATGGCAGGCAAGAACTCAGACACCAAGTGCCACTGTTAGCAAGCCTGCTAACACAGAGCTAACGTGTCTCCTCAGGAGCTAAAACATCTGCAGCTTGATGGTATTTTAAACCACACAGCAAAGGCAGCACTACAGACACTTGTAAGGTGTGCACACTGGGCTTTCAACATGCTGGAAAGGACAGCTACGTGATTCGCTGCCTTCAAACAGTTGCTTTCGCCGTCGGCTTTTCCCTTTGGGCATCAACAAAGCAAATCACCGGTCTCCATGAAAAAAATGTGATCGGAACATCCCTACCATCAAAATTCATCATCATCATCATCTTTATTTATAGAGCCCCTTACATGCATAAGGCATGCCACCAAAGTGCTGCACAGTAACAAATTAAAACTCATAAAATCACCAAAGACAATTAAAACCAACAAGTAAAAACAGTAAAATTGTGTAAAAGATCAACAACATCTAACCCAGAAATTTAAAAGCCAAACCATAAAAGTGGGTCTTCAGCCTTGTTTTAAAAACTGCTACTGATGGAGAAAGCCTTACAAATAGGGGAAGTGCGTTCCACAGTGTTGGTCCTGCTACGAAGAACGCCCTATCCCCTCTCGTCTTTAGTCGAGCTCAAGGAGCCACCAGCAGCGACCGGCTCTCGGAGCAGAGCATTCGAGCAGGGACATAAGGCTGCACCAACTCCATCAAATAAGCTGGAGCCAGTTCATACAAAGCCTTAAAACCATTAAAAGGAGTTTAAAACCAATTACCCAGGTCAAGCCACCTTTGAAGCAGAAACAGCGGCAGAAGCGCCTGACCTGGGTTACAGAGAAGCAGCACTGAACTGTTGCTCAGTGGTCCAAAGTACTTTTTTCAGATGAAAGCAAATTTTGCATGTCATTCAGAAATCAAGGTGCCAGAGTCTGGAGGAAGACTGGGCAGAGGGAAATGGCAAAATGCCTGAAGTCCAGTGTCAAGTACCCGCAGTCAGTGATGGTCTGGGGTGCCATGTCAGCTGCTGGTGTTGGTCCACTGTGTTTTATCAAGGGCAGGGTCAATGCAGCTAGCTATCAGGAGATTTGGAGCACTTCATGCTTCCATCTGCTGAAAAGCTTTATGGAGATGAAGATTTCATTTTTTAGCACTACCTGCACCTGCTCACAGTGCCAAAACCACTGGTAAATGGTTTACTGACCATGGTATTACTGTGCTCAATTGGCCTGCCAACTCTCCTGACCTGAACCCAATAGAGAATCTGTGGGATATTGTGAAGACAAAGTCGAGAGACACAAGACCCAACACTCTGGATGAGCTTAAGGCCGCTATCGAAGCATCCTGGGCCTCCATAACACCTCAGCAGTGCCACAGGCTGATTGCCTCCATGCCACGCAACATTGAAGCAGTCATTTCTGCAAAAGGATTCCCAACCAAGTATTGAGTGTATAATTGAACATAATTATTCGAAGGTTGACTTTTTTTGTATTAAAAACACTTTTCTTTTTTTGGTCGGATGAAATATGCTAATTATTTGAGATAGGAGTTTTGGGTTTTCATGAGCTGTACGCCAACATCATCAATATTAGAAACAATAAAAGGCTTGAACTACTTCAGTTGTGTTTAATGAATCTAATATATATGAAAGTCTAATGTTTATCAGTAAATTACAGACAATAATGAACTTGATCACAATATGCAAATTTTTTGAGAAGGACCTGTATGATCTGAGCCAGCTCAAGGCCAGATCAGAAATCCCTACATAATGCTCTAGACGATTGAGCATCACCTCATGGCTCATGGTTTCACTTAGTTAAATTGCAGCCATTTGCTAAAATCAATAAAAACTTTTTTTCCTCATTAATGTGCGTACACACAACACCCCATATTGACAGAAAAACACTGAATTTTAGAACTGTATGTAGATTTATTTTAAAAAGACAAACTGAAATATCACATGGTCTTAAGTATTCAGACCCTAGTAGAAGCACACTTTTGAGACAATACAGCTATGTGTCTTCTTGGTAAAGATGCAACAAGTTTCTTACACTTGGATTTGGGTTAGGGTTAGTGGATAGTGAACGTTGGTGGACAGCCATTTTTAGGTCTTTCCAGAGATGCTCAATTGGGTTTAAGTTTGAGGCGACAGTGGCACAGGAGTTAAGTGCTCACCCCGTAATCGGAAGGTTGCAGGCTTGAGCCCCGGTCAGTCTGTTGCTGCTGTTGTGTCCTTGGGCAAGACACTTACTCCCCTTGCCTGCTGGTGGTGGTCGGACGGACCAGTGGCGCTAGTGCTCGGCAGCCTCGCCTGTCACTGTGCCTCAGGGCAGCTGTGGCTACATCGTAGCTCATCACCACCAGCGTATGAATGTGTGTGTGTGTGTGAATGGGTGAATGAATGATTGTGTTGTAAAGCATCTTGGGGTGTTCCAGGACTCTAGAAGGTGCTATATCAAATACAGGCCATTTACCATTACCATTTAAGTCAGGGCTCTGGCTGGGCCAGAACAGTCAGAGTTGCCGTGAAGCCACTCGTTGGTTGTTTTTGCTGTGTGCTTAGGGTCACTGTCATGTGGGAAGATATATCCAAGATATCCCTGTACTTGGTCTCATTCATCATTCCCTTAATTGCAACCAGTCTTCCTGTCCTTGCAGGTGAAAAGCACCCCCACAGCATGATACTGCCACTGCCATGCTTCACTGTGGGGACTGTATTGGACAAGTAATGAGAAGTGCCTGATTTTCTTCACACGCTTAGAATTAAGGCCAAACAGTTTTATCTTGGTCTCATCAGACCAGTGAAGGGTTGCAGTGATGGTTGACTTTCTACAACTTTCTCCCATTTCCTGACTGCATCTCCAGAGCTCAGCCACGGTGATCTTTGGGCTCTTCTTTACCTCTCCAAGGCTCTTCTCCCCCGGTAGCTCAGTTTGGCCGGATGGCCTGCTCTAGGAAGGGGTCTGGTCGTCCCAGACGTCTTCCATTTAAGGATTATGGAAGCCACTTTTCTCCGAGGAACCTTAAGCGCAGCAGAGATGTTTTTGTAACCTTGGCCAGATCTGTGCCTTGTCACAATTCTGTCTCTGAGCTCCTCAGGCAGTTCCTTTGACCTCACGATTCTCAGTTGCTCTGACATGCATTGTGAGCTGTGAGGTCTCATATGGGCCATTCCCATCTGTACCGGGTCGGCCCGGGCCTGGTAGCGTAGGTTGTTTTACATATCTGGGTGGCCTGGTATTTTTCCGGGCCAACCAAGGCTCATTCTCAGCCCTCTTCTCGAGGGGGTCTGCTTCAGGCTGACCAGGGCCAACACACCCACTGCTGACAGCAAATTCACACCTTCCATTAGAGCAAGCCTCTGATTGGTGGGTGGAATCAGCCCATATGGGCTTAAGACAAGAATGTGTGGAATCAACCGGGCCAGGCTGGGGCCGACTGGGGCTACCCGGCCCGGGCCGACCCGGTACAGATGGGAATGGCCCAATATAGATAGGTGTGTGGCTTTGCTAATCAAGTCCAATCAGTATAATCAAACACAGTTGGACTCAAATGAAGGTGCAGGACCATCTCAAGGATGATCAGAAGAAACTGAAAGCACCTGAGTTAAATATACGAGTGTCAAAGCTAAGGGTCTGAATGCTTAGGACCATGATATTGCAGTTTGCCTTTTAAAAGCTGCAAACATTTCTTAAATTACATGTTTTTCTGTCAATGTGGGGTGCTGTGTGTACTTTATTGAGGGAAAAAAAAACATGAATTTCATTTTATAACAAAGAGTGAAAAATTGACCGTGGTCTGAATACTTTCAGTACCTGCTGTATAGTGTGTCTCAAGGGGGCGACTCTGAAACAAGAAGCCAGTTTTTATAGAAATTGTTCGATTTTAAAAGGCTGCTGATTCATTTGGTTATTCTTAAAGCTCCTATAGCACATCTGCAAACACACTAGGTCTTGAACACAAACACAGAACAATCACTCCTCCCCTCGTGTAACTTCACTGGTTCTATGTACACTGAAAATGAGAAACCCACGTTGCCAGAAGACACAAGACAGCACAAAACAGCAGTCGACATTTTTGAAGGTCCGAACCTCTTTTGTTGTCCGTGACTTCAAATGGTGTTTTTCTTTTTGGGACTCTGGTAGTTTGTCCTAAAGTAGAAGTGGTAGCAGCTGTTTCTCCTTCTCTGATATTATTGAGTGGAGAACCTCTCACACCAGTGGTGTTCTGTTGCTAAATACATGAGTGTGTGATGTGTGGAGGACCCAGGGAAGTATGGCGGTTTGGTGAGACTGACAAGTGGATTGTCCAATGGTTGCCTTCTGTTTGAAATGTGCCTTTGGATGCAGTCTTTAGAAAAATGTAGAGCCACTTCACTATATATATATATATATATATATATATATATATATATATATATATATATATACATATAATTTTTTGTATCTCTTCAATATCCTTATACACTATGTTAGGTTGTTTAGAGACATGAAAAGATGTTTTAAGCTAAATAGTCTTCTTAATTTGACATGCTGGCTTTCCACACATGTACATTTTCATTCACTTCAAGATAGTCAGATGCAAGTTTCCACTTCAGAAAACACTTTTAGATTACTGAAATTAGTGAAAATTAAACCAAAATTGAATAAATAAAAAAATGGAGACAAATATAAATATCTACAACATATAGACAACTTTTTAAAAATAATTTGTCTAAATTCTAAAAGTTTTAATCATAGAGCAGTTTTTTACAAGCGGAGGGACCAAACGGGCTCAACAACATGATCAGACCGGTAATGTGAAAACTACCTCTCTCTGCCTCTAAGTGTTCTGATGCTTCTGAAACATTCAAGGTTCAAGGTTGTCTTTATTAATCCCCAAGGTGGAAACTGAATTCATTTGGGAACAAACCTTGATGATTTTATTTGTGGAGTCGGTGCTGATGCTGACATGAGGGATGGAAATCCTGGTCAGATGCGTGGGTACCTGGGAATTTTTCCCCTCTGAGGGTATGTAGATGGGCATGATGATCAACCTGAGACACAGAAACAAAACCGATTCAATTCAGTTTATATACAGAGTCAGTTGACAACTCAAGTCATCTCAAGTCACTTTGCAAAGCAAACATTCTAGCTGAACCTATGACTCAGACAGATTCATTCATTCATTTGTCACCAAATACAATTCATTGCTTTTCCAAACACAAACACTATCTGATTTTCCAAAGAGCACTTTGTCAGTTCATTCAATTCATTCACTATTATTATTATTATTATTATTTTACTGTGTTATTCAATAATAAGACAATATGAATGGATACAATGGGAAAAATATTACGACTTTCATTTAAGTGTTAATGTTTATTTACAGTTAGCGTTCATAAAATGGTGAATAATGACCAATTTCAAAGCTTCAATCCAACCAGGAACATTTGGCTGAAACACCTGCTGACAGGTACAGAAATCATATGATAGCAGAGATGGCCTAAACATGTTCAGCAACTAAACACTGAGTGTTCACCAAAGTCCAGGACAGTTTCATTAGTTTTATTTTTTATTACTATTTAGCTTAAACACAATAAAAAAGCAAAGGTTTTCATTTGTTGATTTTCAGTAAATATTTAATTTTTATTACTTGTTATTACAGCGACTTTAGTGGGCACAAGGGTACCAACAACTGTATTTTTACTGTAAAACTGAATCCAGCATCATCCATTTCTACAAAGAAATAGTGACAACACACTGTACCATCAACAGAACATCTGGAGCTGTCAGCTCTTGTTCGTCCATTCTGAGTCTGCGGCTAAAGGCTTCAGTCTGCCATCTGTCTGAAAGCAAGGGACATTAAACTGCTGACACTCACTGGGATCTCTGGTGTGTCCTCCACCACACACCAACTCATTACAAGAATAACCCTCTTTCAGGAAACACCACATCCGTGTCCACAGCGTGGCGGGAGTGTAAAATTCTGTGAGGTAAATTCAGGGAGAATGCCAGGAAAGATTTGGCCGTGTTCCCAACAGGTAGCACATTGCTTCCAGTCAGAGCTCATTAGTTTGACATAGGCCAGATTTGACTAGCGAATCCCTTGGTGGTATCTCGCCATCCGAGGACGGTGGAGCAGGAACATCCCGCGAGGCAGACAGGCTGATCAGCCAACCGTACAGTCGGTCACTCTGTCAGGCAGACAGGAAGTAACCAAAAAAAACTCAAATAAGACCAGAGGGGTAGAGCTCGAGGCCTGAATTAGAGCAAGACTGTGATTCATTTAAGAGTTCAGGGAGATCACCTAGACCTGGAGGTTCAGCAGCCTGAACATCTGAGAGTCACTCTAGAGAAAAAACTTTAGAAGCTCTGATGACTCACTGGAGATGGAAATGTCCTCTCAGCGTCACCATTTTACTTCAACAGACTGAAAGAGCACAACACAACAAAACTTAAACATTAACATAAAAGCTGAGAGCCTCTGCATTCTTTATCGATCACGTTTTACTAAGTGATCCAAAAGTGGTATTTTTAGCAACACAATCACGAGATTAAAACTCAAAACACTGGAATTTACTGGGCTTTACCACAAAGGAGACCCTATCTTACCTATATGAATATATCTGATGACCCAAGCAGTCAAGTGAGCTAGCATCAGCTTCACTTTAAACATATATGTGAGTTTATAACTGGAGAACCAGAAACCTTTAATAGCTTTAATAGCTGCTATGTGTACCGACAGACATGTGGGATGTTTGGTCTACAGCATGTTAGGCCTTTCAGCCAAAGACCAGTTGTTAGAGGAGCTGAATCAGCATCTTCAACTGATGATGCACAACACAACCTTTCACTTTAGCGTTTTGAACCAGCAGAGGGTGCTCTTGTATCCGTTTTTTTTAGTCTCCACATGCCCAAAGAAAATGAAATCATGATGCTGCTTTTGCTAAATACATGAGTTTTTATTAATGTTGGTGCACTTTACAATCATGTTTTAAAGAAAAGAGCATGTTAAACAGCAGCTGTTCCATTCTAATGACTCTGAACTGTTTTAATAATGGCGATATTTTCAGAAAGCATAAACACTTTAAAACAACCCAAGTGCACTGACTTACAACTGTTATTAGGGACTCTAGAGAGGGACATGTGGTTAAGACAACACGTGAGTGAGAGCATTTGGAAGGAACCCACTGCACAGGACAAGTCAGTGCTCAGTATTTATCAGAGATGCACATTAAAGGCACATTGTGTAATACTTTTAAAGTTAAAGTCCCATAGTCATCATCACACACTGGTGAAATTCATCTCCGCATTTGGTCCATCCCCATGGAGGGGAGCGGTGAGCTGCAGCAGTAGCTGCGCTCGGAAACTGTCTGGTGGTTCAACCCTCCCAATCCAACCCCTTAAAGCGGAGTGTCAAGCAGGGATATTTTGGGTCCCATTTTTTAAAGTCTTTGGTATGACCCAACCGGGAATCGCACCCCACTCTCCCAGTCCCAGGGAGGACACTCTACCACTACGTCACTGAGCTGGTTTACTTGTTTACTATCAAATGCTGTGTCTCTGTTAACAAACATGTCCTTTTTTTATACAAATAAGCTGAAGCCGACGCCTCATAGTCATGTCATCTTTAAATATGGTGGTGTTTAGGGACATACAAGAAAATACTCTGCATTTCTCACTTGCACTTTGACATGATTTAACCTGAAAGAAACAGCAGAGGGCAGCAGTACACCCTGGAAACATGCAATCTGTAACACCAACTAGAAGAAGAAAACACAAACACTGTTACTATACTTGGCTAGTTTGTGTTACGGTCCTTGTAATAGGCTCCTCGGCCCCCAGTCTAGCTTTTGCTGCTGTGCCCACTGTCTCTCCAGTCCCAACCATTTCAGCACCAAGAACAGCGCCTGTGTGTCATCCTCACGCCGGGGACACACCGGCTGCCGAAGCGCCACGAAACGGGGACCGCCTTCATTCGGCACCCTTGTGATCCTATTCTACAGACCATGGGCCGCCGAAGCGCCGTGCAGCGATCGTTTCGGAAGTCTGTTCTATTTTATTTTTTTGCGAGCCGCGGGTGAACCGCGTCATTTCTGAGGCTATGGAGGTTGTAGGGCTGTCGTGGTTGACATGTCTCTGCAACATTGCGTGGTCATCGGGGGCAGTTCCTGTGGAGTGGCAAACCGGGGTGGTGGTCCCCATTTTTAAGAAGGGTGACCGGAGGGTGTGTTCCAACTAAGGTCTACTCCAAGGTACTGGAGAGGAGGGTCTGATTGATAGTTGAATCTCAGATTGAGGAGGAGCAATGTGGTTTTCGTCCTGGCCGTGGAACTGTGGACCAGTTCTATACCCTTGCAAGGGTGATGGAGGGGGCATGGGAGTTTGCCCAACCAATCCACATGTGTTTTGTGGATTTAGAGAAGGCTTATGACCTTGTCTCCAGGGGCACCCTGTGGGGGACACTCCAGGAGTATGGGGTGGGTGACCTTTTGTTAAGGGCCATTCAGTCCCTTTACCAGAGGAGCGTGAGTTTGGTCCGCATAGCCGGTAGTAAGTCGGACCTGCTCCTGGTGAGGGTTGGACTCCGCCAGGGCTTCCCTTTGTCACCGGTTCTGTTGATAACCTTTATGGACAGAATTTCTAGGCGCAGCCATGTTGTGGAGTCTGTCAAGTTTGGTGGCAGGAGCATCTCGTCTCTGCTTTTTGTGGATGATGTGGTCCTCCTAGCTTCATTCAGCTCTGACCTTCAGCTGTTGCTGGGTAGGTTCGCAGCCGAGTGTGAAGCGGCTGGGATGAGGATCAGCACCTCCAAATCTGAGACCATGGTTCTTGACTGGGAAAGGGTGGCTTGCCAACTCCGGGTCTGGAAAGAGGTCATACCTCAAGTGGAGGAGTTCAAGTATCTCAGGGTCTTGTTCACGAGTGAGGGTAGGAGGGATCGGGAGATCGATAGGCGGATTGGTTCGGCGTCTGCAGTGATGTGGACACTGAGCCGATCTGTCGTGGTGAAGAGGGAGCTGAGCCAGAAGAAAGAATGAGATTGTGGATGCAAGCGGCTGAAATGAGTTTCCTCCGTAGGGTGGCTGGGCTCAGCCTTAGAGATAGGGTGAGGAGCTCGGACATTCGGGAGGGACTCGAAGTAGAACAGCTGCTCCTCTGGATCGAAAGGAGTCAGTTGAGGTGGTTTGGGCATCTGGTCAGGATGCTTCCTGGACGCCTCCCTGGGGAGGTGTTTCGGGCATGTCCTGCCGGCAGGAGGCCCCCGGGTCGACCCAGGACACGTTGGAGAGGTTACATCTCCAATCTGGTCCGGGAACGCCTTGGGGTCCTGCCGGAGGAACTGGTTGAGGTGGCTGGGGAGAGGACGGTCTGGAGCTCCCTAGTTGGGATGCTGCCCCGCGGCCCGGACCCGGATAAGCAGAGGAAGACGACGACGAGGAAAGGTTTTTCTTTACCTTGCTGCTGACGTACATTTTGTTTGCCGACTGCAAAACATCCTCAGAGCTGACGCTGATGGTGGCGTCACTTCCTACTCCGTAGGAGCAAGGTAAAGAAAAGCCTTTCCTGTATTTTAAAAAGAACCAAAAATGGAATTAGAAACTAAACAAAGTACGAACATACCAACGATGTTTAAAGAAATAATGGTATTTGTTGTACACTTCTTAACCTTTCTTTCCTTCTTTCCTTACCTTAACATGCAACACTGCATATCTAGTTAAAAAAGGTAGAGATGATATTTCTGGTGCTGTAGGGTGTTGCATAATGGGATAGCTAGGTGTGTAAGCAAAGGAAGCACTGGTCGCTTTGTGTGTTGTGAGCTTATAAACCTGCAGAAACTGGTACACTGCTGTTGTGTGAAGGGCTGCCATGCTATCTTCACAAGAAGGCAAAAAAGTTAAATGTAGTAAGCAATAGCGTTAAGCGGATATTTTCCATTTTTGACCATTTATTTTTTGAAGAAGAAATCTCCAGGCTGTTGGTCATTCTGACAGACTGGAATTCCCCCAACGCATTCAGGTGTGTAGAAGTTTTAAACATTACACACAGTGGCCATCACAGAGGTAACACAATCAATCAAAAAAGATACCCATCAGAACATCTAGGCATTATATCAGACCTGGACACCATGATGAGTGCAGCTCCCTTTCAGCGCGCTGAGTGGCTGTGAGAGCAGCTCGGAGCATCTGTGGGCCACGGCCCAGCAGCAGAACCAGAACGCAGCAGGTAAAATGTTCCTACTTTAAGTGAAATCATTTAATTGTAACAACTGGCGCACTGTTTATGCTTATGTAAAGCCAAGCTGTAGTTGCTTTGTTTAATCTTTACTATGATGATTTTGTGCATTCAATGGCTAACATGCTGTATTTCGTTGCCAAACTTTGTATTCAATTGGGATACTACTTCACTTTAGGTTTATTTACAATGTAATTTCTTGCCCTTATTTCTCTTTGAGTGCCTCACAGCAGTTTTATTTAATTTAATTTGGTATATAGGTATGTATGTACGTATGTACACGTGTGGGTATCTATGTATCCATGCTCATGTGTTTATATTTACGTGTGTATATATATATATTTATACATATCGTTGATTTTACTATTATTTACTTTCCTTTTTTTTTTAAGTCTGTTACAACTTTCTAACTCTGCCACCTTATTTGTTATTGGTTGTGTTGTAGGAGGACCTGCTCGAAAACGAGATGTTACATCTCAAGCAGTTTATCCTCCTGAAAAACATAAGTTAAATAAATAAATAAATAAATAAATAATAAATTTGAGAAATGAAAATGACGGGAGGAAACAATCATGACCGTTTTAAACTCTGTTGGTCAAAATGAAAACAAAGATGTCTAGCTAGCCTCTGGTGTAGGTACTGTTTCTGTACCTGCTTGTAACTTTATTGATAATAACTTGTTTAATTAACACCCATCCAGAAAGTAAAACCTGTTAGTGGAGTAATGTTTTTGGATGGCTACTTTTACTCTAACTTGGTTATAAATAGGCTGAAGTAGTGCTACGTTTACTCAAGTGATTTATTTTCAGCAGGTCGGAGAGGTTTACCTTACTGATTGTAGACAATTTCTGAAAATACCGATCTTTAGCCTCCTGCAAGTTTATCCCTGTAAGGGATGCGATCGTCCTTGTTCTTTTATCCATCCTTTTGACTCCTCTTCTGCTTCACCTGTGGCTTCCCCTAATAATGTTAGTCATACACCTAACATGGCGCTAAGGTGTGTGATTGACATGCAGGTCACGTGTCTGATAAGAACGGATATATCCAGGCTGGAAAAATTTTCATTTTCATCTATCGTACGATTAACTGATTTATATATTACGTCCCAGCCCTACTCAGTAGTGATCCAAATTCTACTTGGTGACCTAAATAATCCGACTGACTGCAAGTGAGAACAATTAGTAACATACAGGAATCACACGCACCATTTTAGACTTGGGACTACTTTATGACAAAGCACAGCTGTAAGCCTCCATTGAAAGGTGCAAGGCAGCCCCAAAGAAACACACACACACACACACACACGCACACACACGCACACACACACACACGCACACGCACACACAAACACACACACACACACACGCACGCACGCACACAAACACACATGTTGTTTTGTAGTTGACGATTACAATAATAGCTTACAGTCTTTATGTATTTTACATTTTACATCACAGACTCAATGTGTTGAGTGAAAACGAGTTTACCGGTCTCCGTCTTCTGATAGCTTCTCAGATTAAAACAGCAAATTAAACTTTTCTAATCTGAAATAAAGGAAACTTGTAGAGTCACGCCACAGTCAGGGGATTAGGAGATACATGGTATCTTCACAGACTGCATCAGTTTATCTACAAAACCTGAACACCTGTTTTATAATGAGTCAGATGAAATGACAAGAACTGGTAATGCATTTTAAATTTCTTCTTAACAGTCATGAGTTATTATCACAAACAGAGAAGAGCAGGTTTAAACCAGATGTGTGCAGCAGATCCAAACAGCAACTCTGTAGTTTGGTTCCAGTATCTCAGGAGAACCAGAGGGGGACCTTGATGTGCGTGCAGGGAAGATACGTTTCATCCCTTCATCCTCACTAATCACCAGTCTTATCTCATGACTCCCAGGTTCAAACTCTGGGCTCCACAAGTTACCTGCTTGTTGCTGATTGGTGGAGTTTCATCTGTTTTACAAATCAGAGAAAAGTTCTCTGAAGAAACATGGAAACAAACTTTCTTTCCACCAGCGCTCAGGAATGATGCCAAAGGGCCGTCTGATCAATCTCAAAGTACATGACGGGTGGTTGAAACACACATCCTTACTTTTCCTTTAAATATAAGTACAAGATATGTGCGATCCAGGGCGTGAAGCAAAGTGGATTAGAAAATAACTCTTTTTAGCCCCGTTGACTTTTTTCGTTCTTCCGGGGACCCATGAGCCGACCAGATAGGGTCGGATAGGGTCTTAGGCCGGGGACACGCCGAAGCGCCGGGAGGCGAAGCGCTCACGAAATTCAGCCGCTGCTCGCTGCTCCTCAGTTCAGACCAGACGCTTGTTTCTCCGCGCCGGTCGATTCGCGCCTCGTAGTTTTTCTTTTAACCACTTGGTGTCCTCCATTTCCTCTCTGCCTTTTCTCTGCTCTTTTCCTCTACACCCCCCACCCCCTTGCTGTTTGTGTGTGTGTTTGTACGTGTGTGAACCTATGGTGTGAACCAGTTGTTAATAGCTGGCCTACAACTTTCTGCCTCTCTGTCCTGTTTGCTCCGGTTGTAAGACGCCCCAAACCACACCCCCTTCACGTGGTCACACACACACACAAGTTCGCTGTGTGTGTGTGTGTGTGTGTGTGTGCGTGTGTGTTTGTGTGGTTTTTATGCAGTGTATTGTGGAATTGTATTTTGAAATGCTTTATTTTGTTAAATTTACCAGCCTTCCTCTTATGTCTAGGTTTGACTTCCTGCCAGAATTGACGCGGTTCACCCGCGGCTCGCGAAAAACATAGAGCAAACGCCGAAAAAAATAGAGCAGACGCCGAAACGATCGCTGCACGGTGCGGGCTGGAGCGCCGGAGCGCCGCGGCCCATCTGGTCTATAAAATAGGATAACAAGGGCGCCGAATGAAGGCGGTCCCAATTTCGCGGCGCTTCGGTGGCCGGTGTGTCCCCGGCGTTAGACTCCCTATTGAGCCTTTTATAACAAGAGTATAACATTTCAGCCTCATAAGTATGTTGTTTTATTTCAGATTTTTTGCAGGAGACCACGGTCTTCTCACCCCATATCCTGTTAACCATACAGTTTAAATGAAGTAGAACACGAAAATGCAACTACCATACACAGTAGCAATCAGCGTGGTCCTCTCTTCGATGTCTATGCTGTTGAGGATGGACCTCTGTAATGAACAAATCTGAATAATTTGAATAAAAGAAAATGCTTTATTTTTATTACACTGACAAAATGTCTGAAGATATTTCAGAATCAACTTTATTGTCAAGTACGTGAGTGAGACTCTCTTTACAAGGAATTTGCTTTGGTGGTTGTGTATGCACTGGTGCATGTCAGTGTGTTTAAGTAATTGTAAGAACTAATTTTGGTTTTTAGAGATTGTAACAAATTTTTTATGCTGGTGCAACAACATCTTGTTCTGTGCTACAAACCTATGATCTTCGTAGCACCAGTGCTGCAAGCTAAATAAGTTCATGTACTGCCCTGCCAAGAGATAATAAATAAAGTAATATTTAGGTAAATTTAACCCTTTTACACATGACCAGGACACTGTAATCAATTTTTGGCAAGGAAAATTATCTTTTTTTTGTTGTTGCCATTTTTGGTGTGTTTTTGACGATACAGTAGGCACTATGAGTACAGTAACATCAACAGATAATACATAAAACCCTTATTTGGTCAATTTTAGCCTCCATGAAAATCTGAGCGATTCAATCACTTTTTGGCAAGTAAAATGCCATTTTAGTTGTCTACAATTAAATCATCAATAAAGAATTTAAAGATATTTTGAGGCGTTTTTTATAGGTAAACGGGAGGGTACGTCTCTATTTGGCAAGTGAGAATCTTAATTTTATGTGCTGAAGTGCTTTTATCTTGTTACTTTTAAATAGAGCAACGTAATATATAGATAGTAACCTACACAGTGTCATTAAAGCCAAAGCTTGATCAGTTTAAATACTATTTTTCAAGTAAAAATGTGCCCCAAACTAGTTAACTGTGGCTCCATGTCAAGTGGACTAAAGAAAGGAAGGGGGGGAAATCAAATCGCTGGAGAATTGTTTATTTACATTTATACAGCGTTTACATTCAATACAGGGTGCCATTTTACATAGTTTATTTTTTTTATAGTATCAAGGCTGTAACATAAAGATAGCCAGTTCTTACCACAAACCATCTTTCAATCGCAAATATTGCAAAAAGGATTAATATATCCTCATTGTGAACGTTTAAGACAAATAGCAACACTTAAAACAACTTCCGAACTGGAAAAACTAATATCCGCGATAAACATCTAAGTACCGGAAGAGGTTATCTCTGCTTTCTGAATGTCCATATTGTTAGATATGCTGAGTTTTAGGGCGAAGTCCTGGGGCATTTCGTCTAGAAATGCAATTACCTAACCGTGCGCGATCCCGCGGTGGCTAATCATTTTTTGGCAGCGAGTCGATTTATGGCACAACACCGGTGTTACGTCGATATGTGTCTCATTGCATGTTACAACCAATGTTACATATGTCGATGGTTCCAACATGTAAGCCGTATGTTGGAAAGGGAGGTGAAGATTAACAGACAAACTAAAAATACATCCTAAACCTTTTGCAGAACCCCCTGTACGTAATGCTAACTAAAACATTGATATTCATAACAGAGTCTGGCGTATAATGGGTTACTCTAAAGTGTAGTTTAAACTAGATTAAAATGTGCAAAACATAACGTTCCAGAACATGGTCTGATTAGGACGTAATAATGACAATAGTCTCGGTTTTATGATATTCATATTCAGAAAACTCCAAAGAGAAAGAAAGAAGTAGAAACTTACGGAGACTCGCATCCGCCTTCCCTCGCTCAGTTTCGAAAAGGCTGCAGGGCGCATGCGTACAACGAGCCAATTGAGAACGCTCAAAACAAGGAGAAAAAAAGAGACAAAAAAAACTTTCACTTTCACACTCACAAATGATCCCTTCTATTTTCAGGGTTTACGCTGACATTTATAGAAGCAATTTCTCACTACTCTACTAAAAACTGGTTCTGCACAGAGAATGATTTTCTCATTCTCTGTGCAGAATACAGAGGACACATTTAGAGTCATTTCAAAATGACTACTAAAAAATTAAAAGCATCCAGATTACAGTACTTGATTAAATTACTCAAAATCAACGGTCAACAATCTTACTAAACTAAATGAGCAAAACAAAAAATTTACTAGCACATTTGATGAAATTTGATCTTTTTATTGTAATTTTGTAAATCAAAAATTAAGTTATTTCCTATAGGTTCACTACTCTAGATTCTCAAAAACATTTATCAATCGTGTTACTAAACTAGACCAATGAGAGACTGAAGTTTTATTTTTCACTTTTCACAAGATCTGATATTTTTATTAGAATTTTTATCAAAAATGAAGTGACTTCTTTCAATAGCTCCTACGTTAATTGATTTTAATACCCCAAACTGTTTCTCAATTATGTTCCTACGCTAGACCAATGAGACACAGCAGTTTATATAACATTTCACAAGATCCATTCCTTTTAAACAGGAATTCTAAAAAAAATTAGCAACTTTTTTCAATAGCTCCTAGGATAGTTGATTTTAATACCCAAAACCATTTCTCAATGATGTTACAATATGAGACGCAGTGCTTTTTAATAACATTTCATAAGATCTCATCTGTTTTATTAGGATTTTTTTCTAAATTAAGTTATTTCTTTCAATTTCTTCTAGGTAAATGGAGTTTAACCCTCAAAACCATTTCTCAATTGTGTTACTAAGCTAGACCAATGAGACACAGCAGTTTTTTTTCTTTTTTACATAATTCATAGATTGATATTTTTTGTTAATTTAATGAGAAACTTTGATTTTCTTTAATATTTTCCAGGTTGTGTGATCAATTCAAATGATAAACAGTTCACATATTTCATTTTATGAATTATTTTTTGTTGAATTAATGAATGTCGTAAGGATTAAGCTTCTGCTTTTTGCAGATGATAGTATCCTGTTGACATCGTCAGACCATGATCTCCAGCTTTCTCTGGATCGGTTTGCAGTCAAATGTGAAGCAGCTTGAATGAGAATCAGCTTGTCATGATATATGGGAGTTTCCTAACCCACAACAAACAAAATCCTACACAGAACACTAGGGTAAGTAAAATAAAGGATTTGTTTACAAATTCAAACTAAAGGTGCGCCATCCATCCAAAACGGAGGCGAGGGCAATCACGGTTTCCGGGTATGGTCTGCTGAGACAAATTACATGTTACTGCATGTGGAGTCTGATGTGGCTTACTGTTAAGGTGGTAATTCAAGTCATTTTAAGTTGTAAAGCACTTTGAGTTGCATTTATTGTATAAATTGTGCTATATAAATAAAGTTTAATTTGATTTGATCTGCTGATCCTCCATATCGAGAGAAGCCAGGTGCGTTCCGCCGATGTCCATCATAGCGGTGGGTGGAGGTTGAGCGGGTGCGCTTTGCCGACTTCCAGAGAGAAAAGATTTGATTGTGCCATCTGCGAGTGATAAAGAACCTTGTGACAACACCCCTGGGAGTCCCACTTTGTGGGCTCTGACTTTTACCACACAGAAAAACAAGTATAGAGGAGACATATATTTAGTGTTTGCTTTGTTATAACACAGCACAAAATCTGTAATGTTTTAGCAGTTGCATTGCTTTGCATTGCTTCACAACATTACACAAAACTTCACATCACAGTGGCAACAAGCATTTTACAACACAGAGTACGCGTCACATCACAATTTGTTGATTTAGCAGCACTAAAATTATTTTGGTTTGATATGACTGGAAAAGAAAAGAGTTTTTTTCTGTAACAGTAAACAGAATTTAACAGAACTCCCTCGGCTAACATGGCTCACTCATCAGACGATGGTCTCTCAGTCATTCTCTTTTCTTTGCTTGATTTTCTCCATCTTCCCTCCATTCATCACAGACGAGAACGCTTTTTGTTTTCGGGGTATTTTTGCTCTCCACCAGGTTCAGCAGAACTCAGTTTTGACAGCAGAGGCTGTGTCAAAGGGTGAAAAGCTAAGGCTGATCCCACTTCTCCTTACGTAATATGATGGCTGTAAATCTCTTCCTCAGCATCTTGGGTGAGGTCATGTACTTTGGTTGGGGACATCTTGTAGGTGGCGGTACTGGTTGGATGGAAGGAATTTGGTGAGAGACGTGGTGGTGTCACTTCCTGTTCTACCGATCTCTTCAAAATAAAAGGACAAGCGATAATAGCCGTTCTTTCAAAGTTATTGGCATAAACGCGGCAGTTTAATAAGCCAAAATTGTACCCTGGGAATATTAAATGCGTGCGTCTGAGTCGGTAAAATGACTACAGCTTCAGACTTGATGTCTGGAATAAACCAAAAAGGTATATCTCCGGTATTAACTTCGGAATTAAGTCCGGAATTTTGGCGACGGATCTGTTATTAACCACAGGTGATCAGCCTGGGTTATATAGGGATGGGTACCGAATTCGGTACTTTTTAAGGTACCGACCGAATTCCACAGTACCGACCGAGCACCGATTCACTTCATTTGAAACAGTGCCTCGTTTCGGTACCCGTCCTTCACAACGAGAACTTGCCGAGACAGCTGCGCATGCGCAAGAGCGTTATGTCATCGGTCGCTGCGAGCCAGTTGTAAACAGAGCAGCATGGTAGAAAGAACGAAAGCTAAAGCTTGGGTCCACTTCACTAAATGTGATGGGTAACTGGGTGATGATGAAACCAGCGACAACGATCTAAGTGAGACATCCTCATCTTAATCTGCTCCGGTAGGTAAATAAAATGTTTAAGATAATGTTAGCTTAATTTGTTAGCTTCCGTTTCACTAATGGTGCGTTCGCTTTCTCCTCGGAACTCCGAAATTCCGACTAGAAGAACATGAACATGCTCTAAAGTTTGGCTTCACTTTACTAAATGCGACGGATGATTGGGTGAAGATGAAACCAGTGACAACGATTTAAGTGTGAGGCATCATCGTTTAAATCTGCTCCAGCAGTCAAATAAACTGTTTAAGATAACGTTAGCTTGATATGTTAGCTTCCTATGCTACCACTGTTATCATCTAATGGTGCGTTCGCTTTCTCCTGGGAAATTCTAACTTCCCAGTAGGAAAAATCAATTGAAAAAGGATGGTAAAAGGAATGAAGATACACAGTAAATTTAGTTCACAGTAAAGATGTTTGCTTCAGTTTAATTATCAGCTTATAAAACTACAAGGACGATGTTAAAATACAAACAGCTGTATGTTATTTATCGTGATATTTATCAAATATGGTTATATATTGAGAAAAATATATGTTTAATTATAAAAGAGAATTAAGAATATTAAACACTCAAAAGTATCGAAAATTGGTACCGTTAAGTACCGGTATCGATTCGTAGGTACCGGGAATTAGTACCGGATCAATTCAAATGTCAAAGGTACCATCCCTTAGCTCTGTGCAGTGTCAGAGTTTCTCTGATCTGAGTCACACACAAGCATAAACAGAAGTGACAAAATCACATTCAAATGAACACACATTCACTTCCTTTAGAAGTTAAATGAGGTTGAAAGCAAATGCTTAGAATGATACAGACTTGGTGTACAAAGAGTCAGTTCACTGCAAGATAATACCAGGCTGTCAGCCAAGGAGAGGAAAAGAGAGTGATGGAAACTCCGGTTCAGAGCCAAAACTGTGTCATGTCATGTAACAAATCAGAAAAAACACCAAGTGTTTAATAAGATGGGCTGGCTTCGCCATTATGTAAGGGTTTACAATGTGAGGTTTGGGTTAAATTATTATCAGTAAGGTGTGATGATTCTATATAAATATAGAATATCACCCTGATTGATCTTTGAATATTTAACCAGAAGAATTTAGGATTAATTGAAAGCTTACCAAGCTAACAGGGCCCGGTCCATTTGTGAGGTGTCTCTCTTGGCTTAATTCCCTCTGGAATCAGCCGTTTGACCGGCGGCATACCATGTGGGTTCTCGCATTAATTTTGCGTCTAGACTCTTAAGGAGTCGGTACAAAATCAGCTTTGTTCTGCAGGAACCGTTTGCTGTGTCAACTTTGCAACAACCTTGACAGCGTGTCAAGGCTGCTTCTTAGTTAAATGGGCATTATGGAAGTTTGACAGCCAAAACATGTATAGAAATAATAAATTTCTTCTTCATACATTCTCCTGCAATGCCCTGGTCCTGTAGAATGAGCCCTGGCATTTTTACTGTGATTGCCTGTTTTTCTGTAAAATCACAGAAAAAGAGAGCTGCTCGGGTTGAGCAGGCTGCTTCATGCGCGGTCACGCTCAGTCATAGCCCTCCAAACCGTTTTTTTGAACGTTGTTTCAGCTATTATCAAGATATACAGTAAATGTTACAGATACCTAAGACATCACTGGTACGTTAAATGTTGGGCTTTCATGCAGTTCATGAGTTCGATTCTGGACGTGGACATAATTTATTTAGAGTTTATGTTTTACATTAATGGTATTTTTTTTACAGTAAGATGACCAAATTTTTATTTGAGACTCGCCGAACAGCATTGAATTCACAGATAAAAAAGATGTGGGTTCAACTTTCATTTTGGAACAATTTTTCAAGCAAGGGAAGGGAATGATCTGAGCATGCAGGAAGACTGACCCATCTTAAACCTTTGTCGGCTGTGCTGAAGAGAAAGGTACAGAACCAAATTATTGAATTAAATAGCTGCGCGTTCTCCTGTCCTCTGTCCTCCGGGCCACACACACACACACACACACACACACACACACACACACACACACACACACACACACACACACACACACACACACACACACACACACACACACACACACACACACACACACACACACACACACACAAGGGCTGTCTCAGCTGTTATTTTCGTTAAGGAGTGTGCACATACAGCATGCGCGCCTCGTGCACGAACCTACTATTGAAGCTGCCGTTACGCTTTTGGCCTGAGG